CAGAGGCCATCAAGAATGCACAGATTCATTCCCCCGGACCCTCCCCCTCCCCCGATGCTGTTGTACATGCCAGCTGCACAGCCAGCTGATACATGATCAACATCATTTTGAAAAAGGTCTGTGCACACATGGATGGTTGCACATAGGGCTCACTCCATGGGGACAGGAACTCTGGCCAATCACCTGTCCTGTCTTCATAGAGGAAATGTTGTGTGGCACCCTTAGGACTGATGCTACCCGTATAGGATATGGCTAGCACACAGATCAGCAGGGCTAGCCCACGCACTCTGGATCACCTGCTCACACATTCAGTATCCGTGTGAATGAAATGGCTGAATGGGCTGCCTGTGAGCAGAACTGCCCCACTGCTTCTGGTCTATTGCTGGCCTATATCAGAACACATTGCAGGTGAGGGATAGAATGCTTGACTTCCCCCTCAAATGAAATACCGCTTGGCATGGAAAACTAACATGCCAGAGAGATGGCTGTAAGGTGCCTCTTCCCCTTACAATACAAGCTCTGGATTTCTGTGAAGTGCATTAAGTATGGGGGAGGACTCAGGCATTCTGTTCTCCTCCCCACACAATCTGAAATGGTATGGGCCAGCAACAAATCAGTGGGGCCTCTGTTTATCTGCTGCATCTCCCATGATTCCATTCCACTGTATTTGCAATTGATCAACAGAGTGATGGATTGATTGATTTTGGTTTGCATATGCTTACCTAGAAAGTAGCACTCAAGGTAGCTAACAGTCATGAGCGCTTTAAACAAAGAAATGGATCACAGCGTGGTAAGAACAATAATAATACATTTAAAAAGACAGATTGCACACAATCTGCAAAACACACAGATTGCAGAATAAAAAAAATTGTGTAATGCTGAATATCTGCTATTGGCAAAACCATGCAGAAAATTCACTAAGATGGGTAACTTGAAATGCAACATTAAAAAAAAATTCTGAGAACAAGTTACTCAGATTTGTGTACTTAAGTTAAAATAAAATCTTCTGGAAAATGCCAAAAAAGAGCAAAGGCACATTAACACTCAGCTGAGCCTGTAGGGGACAGTGATGCTCTACTGCAACCAAAGCCCTTTTATGTTTGAAAAACAGAACTCTGTCGTTCGTGACTCAGCATTCTTAAATACTAATTCTCCAGCAGACAGTGAGCAGATGCCTTTTGGGGGGGGGCACTACTATTGAAACATGTAATTACTAAGGAATGAGTTTTTAAAAATGTCATGTACCTTAAATACAGCCAACATTTCTACATTCAATTCTAGTCAGGCATCTTTCTTCTGTTTACAGATGCTTGTATGGTTACACTGGAAATTACTGTGAAGCAGGATTGTCAAAAGGAGTTCCTCCTGGGACAAGTAAGCTTTGAAATGTACTTTTTAAATAGAATAACCGATCATGCGGCTAAAACCCTTTTGAACAAACCTATAAAGTTGTTGAGGCAGATTTGAAGTCTGAGTGGTCTCTTCCCTGTTGTGTACTTGCCTTTCTTCTTCCCTGATAGCAGCAGTGGCTGTGTTGCTGACTGTTCTTCTCATCATAATCATTGGAGCTCTGGGTGCTGGCAGCTTTTTAAATTATCGACGGACAGGCTCCCTCTTACCTTCACTTCCCAAACTCCCAAGGTAGGTATCACATGGGATGATGTTTGACCTAAGCCCCAGAAAACTTCAGTTAGTTATGACAAGGTTCCCTAAAGCCATAAAGGTATTTTCAGGGTACAAGATGACCTCTAAATAATCAGCAACATAACCATTTGTGTTCTTTATGGTCTCTGTGCAATCACAAACATGGGTTTTGAAGAGCTGTAATTTTCCTTAAAAGTTTAAGTGTCTTTCAATGTTTCCTCAGAAGCAGGCCCTCACTGTGTTCAGTGTGGCTTACTTGCAAGTAACTAGGAAATAAATTCATATTCTACAACTTCCATGTAAAGATTAAAAGAACAAGTTTAGTCATAGCTGACACTTCAGATGACTCTCTAAAAAATGAAGCCACAGCAGAGGCAAACTACTGCTGTCCAAGTCATGATTTGAATTTTCTAGTTAATTTTGGTAATATTGCATTTGAGGCTGAACCATCCATTCTTGTGAATGCAAGAACCCCAGTACGTGTGTTGGCTTTTCTCTCTCTGTCCAATCCTAATCCATGACACACAAAGCTGCCCTTAGAAAGCTCTTCACTGGAAATGGGCAATGTTAAGCACTTGTCATTCAGCTGTCCATCATGAACAACAAATAAAACAATTTTCAGCGCTGCTGCTTCTTAGCTTAGTCTTCAAAGGGACCTATTCACCCTCCAATACATACTCTAGACCTACTATGCAAGAAGGAACAGCATAAAAAATGCCTGTGCAGGGCTGTAGTCTATGAAGCCCACTTTGAGGATATGTTGCCAATTAATAGCATGGCCATGCTATATGGCAACAGTCTGTAGAAGCTGCTGCACACAATTATTTCATCATGTCTGTCACAGTTCCCTGCCTCATATACACAGGGTGGATTAAACATGCAGCTAAGCTGACTAAGTGTGTCAGTAAAAATGTTTAGGATTGATTGAACTGTCAAGTATAACTTTCCCATGGATCTTACTTATTTATTACATTTACTATCTATACCTCCCGGAAAGCCAGAGTTCTGAGGGCAGCTCACAACAATCAGAACCATAAAACAACAGATTCAATCATTGCAGCAGTACAAAGATTTAAAATACAGTAACAGATTCAGAATAGCAGAAAATGCCTAGGAAATAAAAAGATCTTCATCTGGCACCAGAAAGAGCACAGCATAGGTGAGACTTCCTGGGGAGCTAATTCCACCATTTGAGAGCCACCACAGAAAAGGCCCTCTTAGGAGCTCCATCCATTTGATGGGGGCTCCTAGAGCAAGACTGCTGAAGTGGTCTTGGGATTTGGGCAGGTGTAGGGGAATGATCCTTCTCACCTTATCAACATATGCAAACTTTCTTTATTATAGTCCCAATAATATTTCATTAATGGTACAAATAATTTAAGCTTAGATGCCAGTGGAAGGTTCTGAATGTAATATTTTAAATGTTTTTCTAATGAAATGGTTCAAAGCTTTGTTTTGATATCCTGTGAAAAATGGTTGCCACATTAATCCCAAAGAATGAAAGCTTTAAAATGCTAACTTATATTGATCTGTCATCTTACTGAATATCAATATACTTATTCTTAAAAGCTTAAGCAGTCTTGTAAAATCCACGGAAAATGGCAATGGTGTAACATTCCGATCTGGAGCTGATGTGACCATGGACATCAGTGTCTCTGGTTTTGGAGCTGAATCTTCTATTGACAGAGCGATGCAACTGGTAAGTTCTGTCTCCAGATTATCTGCCTCTTTTTGTTCCCATGCTGGCAAATTGTGAAAAACATTTCACAAACAAAAAATAGTTTTTAAATGGTCATCACAATCCATCATGAACTTCTCATCTGTGCCTGTTTGATTGAAAGAAATATTCATGTGTAAGAGCCAATTGTGGGTTCTTTCTGTGAATATTGTACAAGATGTCATCCAACTATAATAAAGTTGCACTATCAAATTTTTCTGTATTGGGTTAACCTTTTTGGGGTAGCTTCTCCTAATTGCTCTAATTGGCAAGAACATGCAAATTAGCTGAACTGTCTTACCACATTCTAGGTTTGTTCCTGCCCAACTCTGAGCAGGTCGCTTGAGTCATTCCTGGTACCTTCTGCAACTTTTGACTATAGCTGTCTTCTTTTCATTCTACTTTGTGTTTCCCTTCCTTTCTCCTCGGTCTTTTCCCTCAATGCTTCTATATAAAACAAAATCCTTACACAGCCTTCTTTGGAATTAAAGAGGAACACTAATTAAGCTAGAATATATAGGAAGATTTTTATGTCGATTTCTGCCATCCTTGAAATAAGATGGGTAGCCTCATCCTTGGGAGTTACTAACTCCTTTTTATCTCAGAAATCCTGACTAAGATGGATGTAGTTCAGCACATCTTCTTATTTGAAGAGAGCTTATTTCCCCTCCTTGCTGTCACTGACTTGTAACTTGAGGACAGCATGTTTACCAGTTTTTTATTACTAGTTGCTTGAAATGGAGTTCTTGTAGTATTTGTTTTGGGTACAAGGATGTAGTTCCTCCTTCATCAGATACCCATTTGGAACATCTAAGTACTCTGTCTTCTGCTAGCTATATTCCTGTCTTGTTCTCTCCAGTTCTCCTAGAGAAGAAATCACAGTGTAAAACAAGAATGATACATGCAAATAGTCCTTTTATTCACCACTGAAAATAAACAGTTCATTTGTTTTTAGTTAATTATAGCAGATCCTAAGTGAAGCATTTATTTCTTTGGATATTTTCTTGCCATATGTGTTTTGTTACTGCTTTTATGGGGGCTTGTCTTTCCATGTAAGTTTTTTTTTTTTTCAGTGACTAATGGAGAGATGCACTTATTTCTCCCAACACTTAAAAGATTTATGGAGTGTCATTACACAACCACTCCTGGGAGCATTAGCCTGATTTGATGATCTCATACACGATTCCTTACTTATGGCATTGGACATAATAATAAATGGCAAAGTTCCTGCTGGGTTGAATATATTCGAGGAGTGTATGTAATTTGCTTTTTAAAAGAGAAATGTTTATTTCACCCCTCACCCACACTTCGGATGAGAATTACCTATACTTTTGTTGATCAAAACATTTCTTATGCTACATATTACATTATGTTTTGCTTTAAGAAATTTTAACGTTTATGTTAACTTCAGAATAATTTATCACTGTTGCCCTCAGAATGAAAACTTTGCTGTGGAAATTGGGAAGCAGCCAATCACTTTTGAGAACCCGATGTATACAACAAAAGACAGTGGAACTGGGGATGTGAACATTGCTCCTCCCACACAAGTAAGGAATAAAATGAATATGCATTTTCCTCTCTTATCAGATCCTTTGCAGGTTGTCAGCTGATCTTGCTTTCACCAATTTCCCTTCCATAGTGCATTTTCCTTAAAATAGCTCCTTGTCTGAATAACCTTGTTGAATTCTCTCCAACTATGGCCCCAGGTAACTGCTTCCAGCAGTGAAAGAAATGAGAACTTTGAAAACCCAGTCTATGCTACACCTGTATCTGCAAGTGCCCCCCAGCCTCCTGCAAGTACAGAAATTGCACAGGTAATAGAAATGCTAATTCGGAGAATGTGCCAGAACCAAGCATGGAGGGGGTGAGGGGGAAAAAGTCATACTTTGCAGCTCTCTTCTGATGAAATGCTTTATTTCCTACAGTACTTTGTTTTATGTACGTGTGTGTCTTCTATACACCTAGATACAGTTTCGGGTACACATGCTTTGTTTAACAGAACTAATGTTAATAACTTGGAAATACCTGCAGCTCTTTGCCTGAGACTCCTCCCTGTCTTCTCTTATACCCTCTCTTGCTCTTTCACATAATCAAGATGTCACCATCCTGAGCTGATGAAACACGTGTCTTTCTTTAAGAACAAGTTACTTCTCAGTTTTGTGTGATGCACCCAACAACAGATTCTTGCTCAAGAAGACAGGGATAATGATCTAGATTTTTATCACTAGGCTTACTGCTGCTAGAGTTCACCCAGTTTTTTTCCTCATGTCTTCAGTCCTGAAATGTTGGCTTGTTTTAAACCACAGTTTACTGTTACACCCAAACTAGGAACCTTGTAGCTGAGTCCCATAATATACTTAGTAACTGGCCATGTTGAATCTGTGTGACAATCTCTGTCCACTAGCTGATCAGCCTATGCCACACAAGACTAGCAGCAGATGAGAGGACAAACTTCTTCCCTTTGCTTTCTTCCTAGGCTATTGATTTAGCGACTGCTTCCAAGCTTTTTCATTTTCATCATAGCAAGCAAGATTAAATTTATTTTTTCTCTTTTGTTATTTTTGTATGTTAGTTTAACCTGGGTGTCACAAATGGCTGTTACAATGGTTGGTAGCAGTATATGCTGATTGCTATCTTAATATAGGGATGTCAGAGAAATAGTAAACAGATTCAAATGAATTTTGATTTCTATTAATTCAATCCACAGATTCCACAGTAGATCTGTACCATCTTCTGAGTGGTGCAGATTCTGTAAGCTTATGGAACTTCTTTCCAGAGTTGTATGTAAATTGAGTCTTATTAAAGTATGTTGGTTATTGGCAAATATGCTAATATAGATACTGTAGAAAACACTTCCTTGTGTTCTCTGCTCATTTATTAGATGATGAAATAAGAAAAATATGCAAAATATTGTGAATCAGTGCATATTTTATAAATTGTGGTGGACACTTTTTAATAGATTGCTGAAGGGTGAAAATAATCTGAATCTGTCAATAGCAGTCTGTGGAACAAAAGATACCTGGCAATCTGCAAAATACACATGGAATAAATTTAACAGAATTTGTACATCCCTAGCTCAACACAGCCTTCCTTCCAGGACAACTCTAGCAGGAGAAGGTCAGCAGAGACATTGGCTGACAGGTTAGGCTGACAGGTTAGGTTGTCAGAGACATTGGAGTCCCTACCTTTGCCATGCCAAATGTGCAGGAACCATCAATCTGGGGCTTGTTGAACCCAGTCTTGTATCTGTTGTGGGCTTTGCCACCATAGCCCTGGTCTCTGCTGTGAGCACAATTACTGTTCCTGAAATGTGGTTAAATCAGGTGCCGAATTGTCAGGCTTTTCTATTAGTTAAGACCGTGTTGTACTTTAGAGTTAGCTGATTGATTGTCACTGAATTACAACTGAGCCGAAATGGCTAATCAGTAACATTCCAACTTTTTTTTTTTAACATTACCAGGAGTCAAAGTGGAGCTTCTTTAAAAGAAAACTGAAGCAGAGTACTAATTTTGAAAATCCAGTCTATTCAGAGGTAATGTTGAGCTGTCTCAACCTCATTCTCAGCAAAATAATCTTTGTCTTGCTGATACCTTCTCTGTCTGTGATTGTGTTATATGGGACTAACAGCAATTCACCAGTACCAAAACTGGAAAAATCCATGGTAGAATAATTGCCACATCCTAAGCCCTGCTTGGGCCTACATCACACAGGCAGAAGAAGGAAGGGATGGCTCTTCCTCCCCTTCCTAAAATGCATTGAAAATTCCCTTCACATTGTCCTCATTGAGACAAATTTTCTATGCTGATTCCATGGCTGTCAAAGCCCTCCGCCCCATTCAGCACTTATTGTTACTCCCTGGTGGATCAAATACCTCTCCTTCCTAGAATGCTCCTCTTTTGCCCTTAGTGTCTTCAGAGCAGCAGTGCAGGGCAAGCACCTTGCTCTCAAAAGGCCTTGGTGGCCTCGCTCCCTCGTAACTTCTTCCTTTGCTATCACAGAACAGCTCTGGTGGCAATTCCATTCCTCCAGCTTAGCAACCGTTCACTCTCTAAACATCTTCTGCCACCTCAAAAGACTCTCACATCCTTGCTTGCTACCCTACCTGCTCAGAAACCCCTCCCAGGTCACCAGCATGGAATCCTTCCCCTTACTTCCTTCAAATCCCTCCTTGAAACCTGCTTTTTCTGTGAAGGCTTGGACACAACTGAATCCCCAGTTTACATATTCCACCATAGGTCGGGGACCTCAGTCCCAGGGTCCAAATCTAGCCCTTTTGGGGTCCCAAACTAGCCTTCTGGGGGTTGCTGATTGCTGTGTCACCTTCTTCTATTTGGTTGTTTCCTGATTTTAATGCAGTTTCTAAATGGGCTTCAGTGTGTAGAGCTCAAGTTCTAAGGGAAAACAGTGGGCCCTACATTCTGCTTAGCCCTGCCAGACACACTGGTGGTACTATCGAAATGATGCATACATCACAGTGCATTTCTTAATTTCTTAAGTGAGCAGGGTGGTGTTGCTGGGGTACCATACATCTTATTAAAACTGTATTCAAGGAGTTCCTGTAAAATTCAGATTAGAGCCATGTTATGCTGCACATTTGTTATTTCAGATGGAAAAGGAGCAAGGAGGAGAAGTGGAGAATGTGCCTCCTCCAGCTCCATCACTGCCTCAGAAGATTATTCTCAAAAGAGACCAATCGTTAGCCTATACAGCAACTGAGGATTCGTTCAAAGACACCGCCAATCTAGTCAAAGAGGACTCTGATGTATAACAAGTTAAGACAGGGAATCATTAGACACATCCATTTGCACATGTATTTTTGTAAACAGAAGGAAGAATGGTTCACATCTCTTCTTAAAGAAGCGTATTTAGTCTGTAGCCAGAGACATCTGTTGAAAGCATGCCTTGTTCATTTTTTACACATGTCAATGCCTATTTTTATGAGTAATTATCACCATGTACTATATGTATATCTTTGCACTGACACTCTCTGAAAGTAATGTTATAAATATTCTGTACATTTGTAAATTTCTGAAAGATTATCTGGTTGTCGATGTTTTAGTAGGACTCTTATGGAATTGCATTAGGGATATACCCTTGATACAAATGATTATACAAAATAATATAGAGAACATAGCAGCCATCTGCTGAATTACAAAGACCTTTTGAACCCATATTTATAGGCAGCGTTCTGCTAAGTATGTACTGGTGCTTCTGTGCTTTCTATTTTATATACCAGAGTATGTGAAAAATAGGCACCTCTTTGTACAATACCAAACAGAACATAAAAAACAGCTTGCCTAGTCCTCTTTGGGGACCTTAACAAGTGGCACAAGATGTTTGTCTTGTACTAATATTTTGTCTGGTGGAAATTATAAAATATTTCCCTCAAACGTCTTTTCCCTAAATTCCTACTTTTAAAAATGTCATCACGTATGTGTGTAGGATGCTAGGATGTGTTGAACATTTTCGCTGCTTTCACCTTTGATTTAACAACCACTTTTATTGATCATCAGTGTAATTATCTCTCTCCTTAACTGAAGTCTCTACAAGTTAATTCATATAGTGTTAAAATGAGAATAGCCAGCTACCTAAAGTGCTTGACGGCTGTGCCATTGCATTCAAACAATGCTGGCATGCTTTAAAATGAGCCATTTTGTCTCAGACTTTTTTTCCAGATGAACATTTTTGATATTTCTTGACTATTTATTTCCTGAGGTGGGCAATCATGGAAAGGGAACTGATTTTTATTGATACAGCTTTGTACTGTGCATCTTGTTAGTTTTCTTACTCATTAGCTGTTTTCATAGACATAATTTGAACCTTTTAAGAAAAATCTTTGTGCCACTCCAGGAATGTAAAGTCTCAAGCAGTTGTTTGCTATTCCTGGCACAGCTAGTCCTGTAATTCCCACCTTCTAAATTCATGGCAAGTGAGACTTCTGCTCTTTTGGATTTTTTTAATACCTGAATTCTCAAACTTAAATGCTATCCTGCTTTTACTTTGAATAGAAAAGAACTGGAACATGTTGCTGCTGAATAAATCTAACTTGTGTTTTATCATTTGTCTGTGTCTTAGTATGGATTGAATCCAGTGTGCTAGCATTTAAGCTTACCTAACCTACACAGCTCTAGGTTGGTATGGGGAAAAAAGGAAAATGAATAGCTTGTTAGTAAGATAAAAATATATTAATACATAATGCAGAGCATTAAATAAATAGCTTTCTTAAAGGCAGAACTGAAAATATGCAAGCTTTTCTGACTTGAGCTGGCAGTTGACTAAATATTTCATTCGAATTGATTTGTGCAGTGAAGGTGAATTTACTTGATCATTTTAAGTGGCAAAGGAATTGGAAACATCTGTCACATTTCATTGGCTATTATGCACATAACTGTATGCGTGTTTGCACAGAAGGAAGTCCAACAGCTCCCAGCATTCTAATGGTGGCCATTGTAGGATTATTTTCTCTCTAAATAGGCTTATGATTGCACCCTAATTCTGTTTATAGGCGCACCCATTTAAGTTTAGTGATATATATGCAGAAGAGGGACTTCCATGTAATATTATGCAAGTACACTTCAGTGATGTCTCTTTGCAAGAATGTCTGCTGCCTTAAGTGAAAGTATTTTAGAGAATGGTATTTCACCATGTGTGAGTACCTTTATAAGGACAAACTGACCAATGAATTATTACAGGAGTTTTTCTCATTGTGGCAAGATTTAGTTTTTCTCTGTCTTTCTGTAATGTTTAATGCGGGGGTCACCAACCTTTTTGGACCTGTGAGCTCATTTGGGAATTTGAGAACCTGCTGTGGGAAAGTTCTCAAAAAATACAGAAAATATCTTATCAGTGGATCACCACTTGGCATCTCCCTGGTTCCCTGCTGTATATTAGACTTTATTTTACTTAACAAAAAATTTTATGTCTTGTCTATTGGGTGCTAACATCTTTTCGATGAGGGATTGTGTAATTTGACTGTTTGTTATCAATTGGTACCACTAATGCTTCTTTTAAACATAGGTTTTAGCAACGTCCCATAGTTGCTGTTTTTTAAAGAGGCGATTACACGGACAAATTTTATTTATAAAGTATAAGTGCTTTTATATTAGAGCTTGTGGAAGGGGAAATGGATTCTCTGCACCCCTTTGAAAGCAAATGACACAATTCTATGCAAGTTTAGACAGAAGAAAGCACTACAGCTCCTAGTATGCCTAGGTCAGCTATGCCTTTTTCAGTCTAAACTTGCATTTAGCCTGATACTACAAAAACTGAAGACTGAGACACTCACCTCCTATAGTGCTATTGACTGAGGACCTTAGAAAATTTTCGATATATGAACAGGTGGCATGTAGGCCCAACTGCACATGGATACTTATTTAGATATTTAGTTTTATTTTGCTGAAGCCTATAATTGCTCCATTATAAATGCATAATCATATGCCTTTTGTACAAATCCATGTGTGTATAGTAGGACAGAAAAAATAACTTCTTTATGCCCACAGGCACCCCATTAGAGCTCCCTTCTCTGGTGCTATTGGGGGATCTTGTGGACAGATTAGGAACCCCTGCTTTAATGAATGCAGCAACGCTACAAAATTATTGCTGCAGAAGTCAGTTCAGAAATGTTTACTATTTCAGCCACTTAATTTGGATCAACTGAATTGTGGACAGCCAGATGTAAATACATGGCAGATACAGAAGCCTTTAGAGGGAAGAGATGAACATATTTCACAAATGAAACAACAGTATGTTCATCTTTGAGGTATTACTGGACATGGTTGTCAGTTATCGGGAGATGTTACCAGGAAGCTGTGATTGGTTACTCGGTGCCCATTGAAGCTGCTGTTGCTATACTTCCTCAGGTCAAGTATGGAAGTCTCACTGGTCACAATCACCATCAGATAGCTCATCTTTTCCACCCACAGGCCAGTTGCAAAGCAGCATGGCATAAGTCACAAGGGTTTGTTCCTGTTTTTTGGTCCCCTGCCTCTTTTGAACCTCTGTTACCAATTACTTAAGGGCCAGATGATAAGAGATGCAGTCTCTTAAATTCCCCCCATTCCGTTGCTCTGCGTTGCATGCTGCAAAGAAACATAGAAACAGAGCGAGTCAGAAGGGGTCTCCCGGGCCATCTAGTCTGACCCCTGGCTTCAGCCGGCTCCGCTCATGACATGCCCACCATGTGCATGTCAAGAAGCCAAAGCGGAGGAAGCCTGATTCATACTTTTGGTGTAAGAAAGACACAGCATGATGCACAGGGGTATATGTCAGGATCCAAGGCAGTTTCAGAGCTCCCTCTGGAATGAATGAATGATCATTTGATTATATACTTCTGTGTGTGTGCATGTGTGCGTTGCTGCCTATCAACACAGCTGGCTGCAGTTTTGGAATCTCCTAGGGGACATAGCTATGAGGATTTTCTGTGCATTTGCATGTCAGAATTTGTACCATTGGTGATGTGTGAGCAAAAGATAATGTTTTGCATGTCATGGTTGGAGAATGGTAGTATGAAAGCTTTCCCTTTGCTCATTAAGATAAAAAATAGAGGTAAAAAATAAAGTTGCCTTTCCTCTCCCCTGTTTCTTTGTAATATACATAATGGAAGCTGTTGAGATGTATGCCCATTCTTGCATTAGTACTGCTTTGTTTCTCAACGAGTGTATTCTTGGTTACATTATTGAACATCCATCTCTTCGGTGCAGGGCAAATTACATTTGGCTGTAAGGCTTATTTTTCATCTGGCTGAGTAATGAACTCTGGCGGGACACCGCTGGGGATATGTTGTCACAACAGTGCTCTTACATCACCTTTAAACCGTTTGCTCTTTCAACTGCCATGAACCAGGCCTTTGGCAAGGGCTTCACCCTGCTCAGGTAGGAAATTAGATCCTGATAGGAAGTTCAGTTTAGGTATTTTAACGGCACTTAAGGGACATCTGATTTCTCTATGTAAACTCCTGCTTGTCATTTCCACTGCAGTGCTGACCGGTTCCATGGCTGGGTAGGTGAACTTAATTGAACCAACTACCAATGATTAATCAGCAAACCTTAATCAAATAAAACCTTTATCCCCTGTTTTCAAGATCAAGAAATCACCAGTAGCGAAAGAATAAGAAAATCCAGTATTACAATAATTTATGCCAGGCTCATCTTTGGCTCTTGAATGTGTGAAGTTTTTTGGGGGAAAGTGCCTCAAAGAAGATGTAGTAGTTACTTTCCTTCACAACTAAGCAGCTCTCTATTTATGTTGGTTTGTGTCTACTTTTCTTCCATGCAGTCCTCAAAGCAGCTTGTACTGGAAACCCTGTATCACAGAAAAACCTTTGTCACAGAAAATTAGGAATTCATATTTAATTTCTTTACTGACCCACAGCTGAATCTCTCTGGGCAATTCACAAAGCACATTAAAAATGAAATGAAATATACATTATATTAAAAACATTAAAACATCATTAAAAGTGTATAATGCAAATGTTAAAAACATATTAAACAGGCGTGTGTGTGGGTGTATGTGTGTAACTTCAAAAAGAAGAGAATATTCTTATTTCTTGAAAGCCTCCAGTAGTATTAAGATTGACTACCTGAGTACACACATCTACTCAAAAGTAAGCTGCACTAAGTTCAATGCCCAGGAAAGTGGGTGCGGAATTGCAGCTTTATTGTTCCAGCATTGCCCCTTGATTCTACATGGGGGAGAGAACCGTGTGATACTTCTGCACAAATCTCACATGTATAAAAAGTAAGGCATAAATAAGGCCAAAACAGAGGAGCTTGTGTCACCATTATTGGGCCTTTCAAAATAATGTTTACTGCTTTTCCTTTTGCATGATGCATTTAATGCTGCGTTTTAACAGTTTCTTTCCATGTTTAACTGCTTGGATATTTTTTTCTTATATTTCAGACATTATTCTAAATGACTGTTGCTACTGTTAAAATGAAAAAAAATATTTTAATTCTATTTTAGAATCTGTTCTAATGTAATTGGTACCATGCATGTTGTCCTGAATGCTTCGGCTAAAGCACTGTTCATTAGTTAAGACGGTGGACTGGGGCTTGGGAGAGATGGGCTCAAATCCTTACTCATTCATGAAGCTTACTGTGTGACCAAGAGTCGAGCTGAGCATTGACCCTGAGCTTAACTTGCCTCATAGCATAGTTGGGAAGATAACAGGGAGAGCAGGGGAAAGATTGTGTGAGTTGCACTGGGCTCCCTGCCAAAGGAAAAACGTGATATAATGGTAGTACCGTACTAATATAGATAGGCCTCTGAGGATAAATACTTATGCTGATAGCAATAATAGAGTTCTTTGAGGAAAAAATTATATCAGTGAGACAAAAGTTCAGCAAAGTCTAGGAGAACGTTATTTGTACAGCAACTGGGGTTCAAAATAAGGTACGCTAGTATCAAGTATGGATTTGAATCTCGGTTGCTGCAGCACGTATGATTTTCCTGGCTTGCTAGAAGCCGTTCTTGCTTGTGCAATCGCACCATAGGATCCTTCCTCGAGTAATTCAGTGGCCTTTAAGTAACAGCTAAGAAAAAGCTGCTTCTTGTTCAGGTCACCACAGTCTAGAAATTTATGCTTTCTCACAGCGTGTTGCCACTTGGCAGTCTGCTACTGAACAAATGACACAGCTGGGGAGAAGAGTGTGCAGTTCAGCAAGTGGGCCAAGCCACAGAGCAGCAACAGCTTTTCTGGGCTCAGCTTATACTACAATGGCAGTGCAGTCCTGTGCCTTGTGGAGAGGAGCCGCGGCCTTTCCAAGGTAGTGCCCCCAGCTGGGTAGTTTGCATTCGGAGGGAGAGAGGGAGAAGCAGGGATTAGCAGATGAAGGATATCAAGTGAGGGGTCTCAGCAGTGCATGGGAACCAGAGCAGAAGGGAGACTCCATAGAACAGAGAGGGGTGGAGATCAAGGGGAAGTTTGCAGACCCTCTTAGGAAGCCTCAGGCCAATAAGCACGGCCTGCTCTTCCCACCATCTAGCCCTGAAACAGCACGAGCCATCCTGAGGATGGAGTCACGTCCTTGCCAAAAAGGAGGGAAGGAG